AGCAGAAACAAAAGAGGGTCTTAACCGCTATCTTGTAAGACACCACTTACAATAGGGCTCTCATTAGAAAACGAAGATCCCACTAAAAAATTGTTTACTACTAGGTAGGTGTGGCGTATTAAAATCAATATGGGGACTGTGAGGTCCCAGAACTTCTAATTTACCTAATAGTCTTCTACGTGGCGCCTTATAAAAGGCCTTACTAAGGTCAAAATAAATATCGTCCACAGAAAAATTATCATGGGGAAGGAAGTAAGTAGACTGAAAAACGACATACGGCACATTTCACAAGAACGATCAGGTAAAAAGCCATGTTGGGAAGAGCTAATTACTTGATTGGTCATGCAAAAGTCGGTAATTTTCAAGACAATAATTTTTTTCAAATATTTTGGCAAGGAAATATGTTTTGCGGTCACCTCGATAGTTTTAAACATCAGAACGAGAGCCAGGCCTAAGTACTGGATTAATCATAGAAGCTCCCTAGTAGTCGAGTTCCGGTCTCGCATTCTGGTAAGCAATATCCTGTGCCATGTGTGTTACTGACTACATTTTAGTAGCATACTTACTTGACGCTACGTATTGTGTGTACCGTTCTTAATAGGGTTTTCAAAGGCATTACCTATTACCACTAAAATATACGCACCTTAGTAATTTTCGAGAAAGACTGAAAAGAGTTTGCTAAGCAGACGAAGAAAATCTCTTAGCTGCTCAATAAGAGAATTCGGGGTGTTGTCAGTTCCTAATGAATGCGAGTTAATTAGCTGGCCCATCAGCTTCTGAATATTTGCAGGAGCAAAATCAGTGGTAGTGAGTGAATCATCAGACGACGGAGAAATTGATGGGATTGGGTCAGTTTCGATGATAAAATGTTTGGCAAAGAATGAACTTAGCAATTCTGCTTTTCCTGATTCCTCTGAAATCAAGGCATTGTTGGAAATGAACAAAAGCGGAAGGGCTTATTTGGGACTTACATGGTGATCTTCGACAGAACATCTGAGCAACAGAGCTAAAAGGAATTGCACCACTAGTAGTTAAAGACTCTCTACGCTTATCACGTGCGAGCCTCATTTTCGAAGCTGATTCAAATATTTCAGTAATTGGTAGGTGAACCGATAATGAGCTTACGGAAGAATCTTTAGGCAGCTTCCGTTCTGAGCTCGCCGCCTTTTTCTAATAGCTCAATTCGGAAATTGTGGATATTATTATAAATAATGTTGTAGATATGCGAGAGGACACTAGCTGGCGGACGTGAAAACGTTGCTCACTCTAAACGATGCAAGCTGAAATTTCAACTGCTCATGGGGCCGCTTGCGCGGACCACTACAGTCTACATTGTATTGTACCAACTGGCTCAATGCTAACTCCGTTTGAATTTTGCCCTCTGGGCGCCCGAAAACAAAGCCATTATTATTATTATTCTTAAGGGCGGACACGACATCTTATCGTTCGAACTCATTCTGGAACATAGATGTATCAAGGTCTCTCTTAAGGCCCTTCATTTATGGTATCATCACAACATCCGAGGGAGTGACACTCAATGCTCTGACCACCCTGAAAGATAGAGAAAACTTCCGCACACCCAGCCTTGCCTGATAAACGCACCATTTTTAGGAGCGACCTCGGAGGTTGGCTTGAGTAGCGAAATCGAATTAGCCAACTAAGGCTTATCTGCATTCAATCCTTTTAAATGAATAAATAATTATAAATTAATTATTTATTAAGGACCTTTGGGGTCCCACCACACAGTATAGAATGATTGTTAACGGCCCCCGTACACTTCTGTATAACTGAAAGGGGAAAAGTTTAGTTTTGTAAGATTGTATAAAAAAGGAACTTTGATTCTTAACCATTTTGATTTCCCTCGTTTAAACATTTCCGAACCTTTTCTGGACTTGGTCTGTCCACGGACTTCAGGCTTGTATGACGTACTGCAAATGAAACCTCAAAATAAATAAATTGTCTCATTTAGTACCCTGAAGGGTACTATAATAGCAAGTACAAAGGAATTCTCGAATGAATTTTAGAACAAGTATGGAGACAGTGTAGATTGCTCAGTTTGTTCTTATAAAATGTGCAATCTGGTATGAAAATCAGTTTATATGTATGTATTTGAAGAGTTAGAGGCAGCGCTCTCGCTGATCCTATTTATGTGCAATGATTTCGCATATTCGCACTCCAAATGAAGTTGCAAACATCTAGAATGTTATCGATTTACAACACAAAATTTCTAATAGGGAAGCGCATCTGTCCAATGCGAGTCAGTAAGGAAATACTGAGTATGACAGAGTGTTTTCGAAAACTGGCTGCGAATAGTCATGTTCTTAAAGTCGGACTTTGTCGGAAATTACGCTAGCGAGTTTTTTAGACATGTGAATGGTGTCGCCCGTCAAAATCTCACGTGGTAGCGAGTTCCATGGTCGGACCACCCGTTGGCTGAACGAAAATTCCCCCGGTCGAACCGCGAGCGTTCACTCTTGACTCTGTATGGATGACGGCGTAGTTAGCTTGTAGTGGCAAACTCAATGAAGTCCTCCGGTCTTAGTGAGCAACCTTAGCCTCGGATATTCCGGAATGTCTAGATTAGACTGCAGTTTAGTTACCTAAGAGATAGGGGGAATAAGCCAAGCACACTCAGCCTCTCCTGGTAGACAAATGGTTTAGACCATCGACCATCTTCGTTGCTCTGTTCTGCACCTGTTTGAGTAAGCCGATATCCTTCCTCATCCATGGTAGAGCTGCTGGCATGCCATATTCCAGGTGGGGTGTTACAAAGACGGCGAAAAGTCTTCCGACGAGCTTGGAAGGAAATATTCCAAATGCACGTCTGATCCGTTGATAGCTCCTTAATTATCAGCCCAGGAATTCCGTCCGGTCGAGGAGACTTATGTGGTTTTATTTGACTGAGGACGCGTCTTGCTTCTTCGATAAAAAAGGCCACGGTTTCAATGACGGCAGTATCTTAGCGCATTTGAAGCTGCCGGCTGTCTCACTGCGTTAAAGTCACCCTTCCAGATATTTCCGCTGCTCTTGATTTTTGGTTGTTGGTTGGATAGGAGAGATCACATGAAAGTAAAAGCAATATGATCGTTAAACCGAGTGGAGGTTGTGAATTCACTTCCCTTATGACTCCTTCTTCTTTACTGAAAACGAGATCTTAACAGTTAGGTCGTTGTCGTTCTCTCAGTCTTGTTCCGAATATTATGTGTTTGGATAAGGTATTAATTCAGTGAGAGTTGTAGTAGCTTATGGTCAAATGACGTGGACGGGGCGCTTGTTAGCGCAATGTTCCAGTCTATTCCTGGAGCATTAAAGTCACCCGGAAGTAGCAAGTTCTCCTGCATAAATAAAAACTCCAGTGCACTAAGTAATTCCATATCGGCGATTTCATTCGAGCTGGGAGGCCGATAGACAGCACGCAGGTTCAGTGTCGGTAATCGTTTGATACATATCTTGCATGAAATTATTTCAAAATTTCGCGGCACCCCATCGGATATTTCTCGCTGACAGTATGGAATTTCATTTGACACATTAATCGCTGTGCCTCCTCCTCTACGCTGAAATCTGTCAAAACGGAACCGTTGGTAGCCTTCAATACGGACTTCGTTAATACTTATTTCCTCAGTCAACCATATCTCTGTTAGGACTATTATGTGAGGCATCTGATCAGAGATTAGTAATCTGAGTTCATCTAGCTTGTTGAGGAGACTCTGACAGTTAGTGTAATAGACTTCTAGACAGCGACCATTGGTGCTTACGTCCTCAGGAGTTGGTCCTCTTGCATTGGTTATGTTGTCAGAATGACGGCCTTCAGCCAGAGAAATGTCCTTTTGACCTGAATTATTTGTCTGTTCTTGAATTGTAGGCGCGTTTCGCCGCCGCTTCTCCGCTTTTCCAGCTCCGTTATCAGCTCTCTCATTTTCATTCGGCCTTTTGGCTCGTTATCCGGCTGAAAAAATTTCCGGATGCTGACCACGCCGAGATGAATTTCTCAGTAGCAGGAGCTGTGCCTATGCTTCAGTCTCCAAAATGACTTTTAGGGGTCGAGGCCGGGAATTTGAACCGGACGCTGGCTGAATCTTCTTTATTCTGAATGTTTTGAGAACATTAAGTGACTCACCGTCTCTTAACGAGGCTTTCACATACACTTGAATAAGGTCTAAATCATGTTTAACTCTCCCCTTTGGCATTGTTGCTGCTTTTACCCATGTTTTCTCTACTTCTCATTTGTCTGTAGTCTTTCTGCGCTTCGTACATCGTCTTTTTTCTGTTTTTTAGTTCTGTAATACCAAGTTATCTCGTAACAGTGGTTTTGCTTCTCCGCCGAGATTAAAATCCACTCAGACCTTTAGGGCACTATCTCTATAGAGATAGTGCCCTAAAGGTCTGAGTGGATTTTAATTATAATTTGTGCGTCTTTCTTGTGGGAATCCTGTAGTGCAATAAGTAGTGTGCTTGTCTGGTCGTATAGCACAGACACACGGCAGAGTGAGACAGATCGACGGATAGAGAGTTTTCTTAGAGACATAAGGATACAAGAGTAACTATTCCTGTTCAGTCATCATTCCGACGTTCTCCGCCCCGGAGGTCTCCACCCAGACCCTTGCTCACGCTTCAACAGCGGTAACTTAAAGCTTGATTAAGAAACTAAAGGCGCCAGAACGGCAAAAGAATACAAATAGTTCACATTAAAGTAGCAGGGTCGGTCCTCTGTTCTACAGTTCTTTACTTTCTAAAATTAATTTAAATTTAGGCGCCTCGTCGCGCATGGTTCAATTGCCGACGGTTAAGTCCGCTTCGCTCCGTTCCAGCTTAGAAAGAGTTCAGTAATCGGGCATACTTTCGTAGAAAAGAAGGCAGGGGGGCATTTCAATTTTACTCCTGGTTGATTGTTCGACCTCGCCGGTTCACTTAGTACCCCAATTGTTTCTTGGACTTTGCCCTGAGCCGACCTATACCACCAGGTGCCTGTTTCTGGTAGACGGTCAGTCTCAACCTCTACAATGATCGTGAGTTTATTTTAAATTACAAGAACTCTGTTTTGCTCGGACTGTTCAGATGTTTTTATATATTTTTATTGACTTTGTTCGAATTGTAGATTAGTTTTAACCTGCAGGTTAAAATTGCACGTGCATATATATATGCACGTGAAAATATATTTTCACGTCGTCTTTACATGACGGTCGCGTACGAGCAAACTGGTTTCTATGGATAAAGTTTTTCTTTATTCTAATGTAGCATTTGACCTATTTGATCCGACTATATATGCACTTGGATGCGGCTTCTTACCGGAGTCGGTTTAGTTTCACGCCAACTCCTGGAGTGGAAAGTAACAAATTCTGTCAACCTGACTCCGTGGGACTAGTGTAGTTAGGATGCCAAACGAGTTTATTGCAAGGCGTTTACGAAACCCCGTTTAGTAGACCATTCGTAGACTTCACGGAACGCGCATTCGGCCATCTCCTCAGTGCTCATCTGTGGGCTTCATCGTACTCCCGGTTTCGAATGTGTCGATTACCGAACTTGTCATTCTCTTTCAGTACATAAGTTCTAATGCAAAGGACACCAACAACCCAAGAGGATACTAGTGTCGACATATTTCACCAGATCCGTCATGTTGGCATTATTGCGGGCAATTCGAGCTCTGCCTCTTTTCAGAAGACCAACTGTTAGTCTTATCTTGATGTTCTACCGACGTGTCAGTCAGACTACTTGTAGGAGTTAGTGCAGCTGCACCCGCTCGATTTTCAGGAAATGTCAGTCTAAAATCACACAATCAATAATTTGTGTAACTTACTCAAGTCGAGTTTCTGATTGCATGTAGTTCATAAGTAGCCGCCCATGTGCTCCTGTTTGTATAGTATCCATTTTGCCGTGCTAATGAAATAGAAACGCAGTTATCAGTACTCGTCCGTTTTTTTTCCAGGGGGCCCAAATGAAATATTTACCGTTCTTTTTTCTGCTATCTTAAGAAGCACTGCTTCCGAGCGCATCTCCGGCTCCCAGCCCAGAAGGTCGTTTCTGTGCACTCCACTTTTTAGTTTGTGTATCATAATTGCTGATATCATCGCCGAAGTGCATTCTGTAATCCAAGAATCTACGGGTTCGTTAATATTTATTAGCAGCCCAAAACGCGCAATTCATGTGTGGCAGTTCTCATTCTGACCTAACGCTCCTTTTATTTCTGGCTCGAACAGCCGTTACCTGCTTGGCGGTAAATGTGTACATTTCGACGCAGTTTAAAAACGAAAAAACTGCCTATTTTTAACGTGAAATAGATTATTTGGAAAAATAGCAAACAGTATTCCTCGACTTTTTGGTGCCGGGTTCCTAGGTCGCTGTTAGACACCCAGTAACTGCGCAATACAACTAACAAAAATTAACACCTGTCTAGCGTTTGTACCAAATACCTGTAAACGGTCTTCGTATGTTACCCTAGGCCCTATTTCTCCTTGACATTTTTCTACATGGCTTCCAACTCGATATGCTGACTGATGCGTGAGTCATAGCATATGTTCCTCCGAGATTCCCATGCATGGACGGATAGACACCAGCAATGCGAGTTTTGTCCCAAGTAATGGTGTTCCCATTTTCCATGGGGAACGAGTGGTTTTGCCTTTTTTCTGTCATTTTATGTTCATGTATTCGTACTGAGGCAGATTTCTCAGCCTGAAAACATACTGCATCGTATGGAATCTTGTAGACATCGTTTTTTTTCCAAGTGGATTACTTTCATAGGGTGTACAAACCGAATCATAGCAGAGTCGTTTGTCTGGTTGCATCTAGTGCCTCCTCCATAACTTTCGATAACTTCAACGCTATTAATGTAGGGGATGGTTCGTCAGGTCGTTTGTATGCGTCATAACACGGAATGCACTTTGTCAATTTCTTAGAAAATGGGATTTTTTTATTACCTTGTCAGTATAGACTTACTTCTTCAGCCACTTATTGCTGTGAAGTGTCTCAATTTAGGCGTTATCAATGGAAGATCCGTAATTTATAATTTCTGTGTTGCAACCTCAACAAGGAAGTCAGGAAGACGACCAAATGGGAGATTCTTTCAGTACAGTCACGCCGGTGAATGAGAAACTAATGTTTGTTGATATGGGTCCCCTGTCGTCAACCCTTATGGCCGACGTAAACGCAAAAGGAAGTAGTGTATGGGCCGCGGCAGATGACACGAGTTTTCGCTGCTTCTACTGCATATAATACCGCGCGCAGGGAGGACGCCGGCGTGCGGGCGATAAAAATGCCAAATCGGTTTCATTGTCAGCGTTTGCCTCAGAAAGCCCATTTATGCAGAACAGGGAGTCGAATTTCTGTGGCACCATTCCTCTTTTAAAACTGAGACCTTGTAGTTCTCCCTAGCGTCTGAAACAGTTTTTCGCAAAGCTGGTGCGGTATGCCCTGGACTTGAATAGGCGACATAAGTAAGCCTCTCCCTTCTTTCGCAGACCACCGTCGCCGTAGCAGATGGAAATGAGTTCAGACAACTTTTTTGAGCCGCAGGCGTTGCCCTCGTATTTGAGGTAATTATCTGCACTTGAGCCTTTTAGATGGACGTTTGTTGCGAGGCCTCCATCATTCGGTCTTCGAATATTCACGCCCAGAAACGGGAGAATGTCCCCTGCTGTCTGTTCGCGAGTAAATTGTATAGCTGGTGCACTTGTTCAGCTTCACGGGTGTGTCGTATACGTAACGGGGCAACGTTTATGGGCCGAGAGTTCGAACAGCATCCATTTCTAGTCGTCGTAGAACTAGTTCAGCGAGTAACGCCAATTTTGGAGGGCGTACGGGAAGCTTTTAATCTGGTAATTAAAGCTGTCATCGGATTGGCAGTAATTCTGTGGACAGAGCCCAAGAATGTTTGAAACCTGCTGCATTGGCACACCAATAGGCTTCGACCTGCACTTTTAATTGCAAGGTTATTTGATATTGGGAAAAATTGGGCAGCGAGGCCAAATGATAAAATGGGTTTATCAGAACTTGCCTTAAGACCTTAGACTTTCGAAAGAAGTACTTACCAGTTTTGGGTGCTGCATTATCAGCCAAAAGTTAGATGCTTTTTGTGCCTGCATAGCCACTTAGCACACTGGTTTCAGTATAGTGAACTCACTCACCTTACAACTGCGATCTGCTCGCTATACCCCCGACGAGTGCGATGCAGGCCTCACCGTCATCAAGGACTGTTTTGTGCAGCATCGATATGACCGAGCTTTTCTTTTTTAGATAGGAGACCTATTTTAGCTGGCATGAGACTCCTTTTCGGAAAGTTGACAACTCGTTAATAGGACAAAAAGAGGTTTAAGTTTCTTCTTGGAAATCGTCTCGCCTCATCATTTTACCACACTCCGTGGTGGCTTTTATGCGTCGCAGTCCATCTATGAATACACCGACTTCTAAGGTCAGAACTTGCTGTCTAGAATCCGAAATGACGGCGGACACCCAAAATACCGTAACTCAAAACACGGATTCTATTTCTGCTCTCTATTAGCGCTTCAGCCTCATTCGGCAGAGTGGACATGAGTCGAAGGGAGTTCGATAGGATGCGATGATTGCGACGACCCGTTGCCCTGTCGGTTGCGACTGAAATTACTAATTTAGGTGGAAAGTGGTTCATCGATCGTGCCACGGCACGTGCTCGTCCCATTATGCCTTGGGACTCATCCGGGCGCCCTCACAGACAGTCACGCAGCAACCAGTGCAGATACAGAAGGCAACACCGACGAGGATAAGAAGACTGAGCTGGTCATTTCGGGCTTATTAGCCGTCGTCATGCATCTGCTAGCCCATTGTTTTTGTCATATTTGGCATTTTCCGCTTTAAGGCATTACTTACCCCTGCACGTTTTCGGACACCAAAATATATTCAGCGTCATTCTGGCTCAAGTTTGTGACTTTCAGGCGCCTTCGCCGACCTAATCCTCAAATTTAGATGGCATATATTTTTTTATAAATTTCAATATAGAAGTTGAATGTATGTCGTTAATTTAGAACTGTCTCTACGATCAAATACCTATCTGATATGCTTGAGGTCAAGCCTTGACTACGTCTGTCAATCGAATCACGCACATAACACGTTTCTCTATCTGTGATCCAAGAAACGCGCTGCAAATTCCAGCGCTTCCCAGTGGGTTGTATTGCCTCAATCGACAATTTTTTCAATAACCCTATGTGGCGCTTTACCTCCGTGGCCTAGATAGGAGGTCACTGGCAAACGTTAAGGCAACCGTCCTCGCATTGCAATGTGTAGCTAGTGTAATTGGTGTAGCTTGACATCCGATTGCAATCTATTGTAACAACGAATGGAATTTATTTCCATGATAAAAGTGCATTCGACTATCCTCGAGACGTTCTTTGAGCATTTATGATAGGGCCTCTGACGGTAGAGCTTGCCAAAAGGTAAATGTGGAATCACCGTCCCAACAGGTACTTTTTAACTTTGTACGTCAGAGCAGTTGGAAAACACATTACGCGCCGTCGCGTTGAACAGTTTGATGCGTCACACGCAGCTATAAAAACTGCTTTTTGAATTTGGTTTTAGATGAGCATAGCAGGGCAATTCTGTAGCACACATGCACAAATATCTCCTTGAAAAATCCACACCGTCCGCTAGGGAAGTAATTCTCATCACGAAACTTTGTTGTAACAAGTTTAAGGCATTCTGCTATAAGTTTCAGAAAAAGTATTCACCACGTCGGTCTACTACGCAAACAGATTGGAAAACGACACCAAACCGCTTATGTCAGTTTTTTACTCGGTCTTCCGTCTCCCGGGAAGTTTTATCCAGAACGTAAATCCAAGAACCTGACGACACTTCACAACCTTCGCGTTCATATCTAGTCCGTTCATGTGTTCATTGGAGCTGTGACCGTGCTAGCTACTTTTGTGACTTCTTGTCGCCTTTGTTGCGGTCGCCAGCGCGACAGCGACCGACGGTCACTAGCCTGACCCACCCCGACCTCAGTTTCGCGTCCACGTGGGTGATTTAAGTGCGCACACCATGTATTCCCGTCTTTCTATGCCATCGTAAAAATATTCGTGAATAGGAACCCCCCGTAATGCAGGTGGCCTTGGACTAAATTCCAGGAATGACATTAATTCCCCCGATCCAACCCTATCTCAGCACTAGCATAAGCAGCAAACCTAAACTTAATCCCGATCCTAATCCTAACCTCAACCTCCTCGGGATTTAGCACAAGGCCGTCTGTACTACGGGGGTTCTTATTCCTGTGTCCTATCGGATTCCTGTCGCCGGCACAAATGCAATTGGCATTTTTTAGGTTTTTTCCAAAATCGTTCCCTTTTTTGTAAACAATTATCGCTTTCTTAGTTGTTACTTGCCTTACTTAAACAGTGGCGACAGGGACCGATGGATTCTCATTAGTCCGACCCACCCCTACAGCAGTTTTCCGTTCACGTGCGTGATTTAAGTACACGAACGATGTGGTCCCGTCTTTGTGTATTTATATCGCTAGTGCAGGTCCAAATCACGCTTGTTGGATCTTCCGAAGAGGTCTCCATCTATTACAAAAATTCCTGTCATATATGAACACTGGCACGTGTCTCGCCCTTGCCGGCGACCAGCACTTTTATTTTCAGCCATGACACTACTTTTTTGTAGTAACTTGTCGCCATCATTGCAGTTAGTCCCCATCTGAAAGTTTTAAATTCCAAGTCCACAGGAATTACTCACATCCGGTTGTCCTGACACAGTGTAACTGCCAGTTAAACAACCCGGCGACGTTTGTGGTCTCGGTTATGTTAAAAGTACATGTCACTGCTAAGCCTTCTCCATCGTAGTTAGGTGCACATGACTCTTTTCGGCTTGCCATCCACCAGGCTCCTTGCCGTACGTGCGCGCGCCTTGTGAGCACTGCAACAGCGCTGGTGAGGTCGTTGCCCAAGGGGCTTCGAACCTCGGGAATGCAGCCTGAGATTCGGGGTGTCGCTGGCTGATAGACTGGCAAATAGGACAGAAATGACCACTCAGCTGTCCCTGTCCTTGTGGGTAAAAGTCTGACTGTTAAATACACCATTTGTTCTCGGAAAATTCACTTTGAATGTCAACTTTCTTGGTAGTTGAAGTCATAGGGTCGTCACACCTGACCGCGCTCGGCGAGTACATTTTCAGAAAGATTGTGCAAATTCACACTTCGTGCACACCGGCATGTCGGCCCCATTTTAAGCCCTCCCGCCATTTCTCGCGCTCTTACTGGCGTTAATTGCCTGCCATTGTGCAGAACACTTGTTTCTGGTGTATTTTGATGACACCTGAAATGTACTCATTTCTCATGGAAACGGATGACGGAAAAGTAGTCCATTCTTTTTTGCAAAATTTATATTTTGACTTGCATTTGTTTTTTTTAAATACTATTTGCGCCTCCTGAGTTCCTTATGCCTAAAATATCCGTCCTTTTAACATATTAGACATACAGTAGATATGCTGTCTCATGAAATGTCACCTGAAATTCTGAAGTGTGTTCCGTTTGACAATTTTACCTAGTTAGGGTTGCCATATTTATTATCGTGTCGTACAATCCTAAGAAATCCCAGTCACGTCAGGATGCCGGTTTCGAATGAGCTTCTTACTGACCGCTGACATAAATTGTATTCCATAAGAATGACTGTTTAAGTATCATAAACTTTTCGCATTGACTCTTGATACCCTTTTAAATTCAAATATCTTTTATAGAAAACATGCATAAAAATATTCTTTCTTCAAATGACTTAGTAGCCAGCTACATCTACTTCAAATTTCATACTTGAAGAAAAAGTATCCTTCAGTTTTAAAAAATTTACTCAATTTCCGAATAATTTTGGACCGCACCTGTCGTTACACTTGTATTCAGGGTTTCCGAACTACAAACTGTATACTTTTCATGCAAGGAAAATCATACATTTCTATATGCTATTATGAGGTAGGCACATAGGGCTCATAAAACTTTGCAGTGCATGTGAACCAATTCAAATTTATAAGAAGCATCCATAAATGTGCTGATACGATGCCGTACGATCGGACAGTCCACGGTCTTGGAAAATCTCATAGCTAGAAACTTTTTTAAAGCCGAAAATCACCCCTTCTTCGAGTATAAAACTAGAAAAAGACGTTTTTTTTACTAGCAGTTCACTAAAAGGAGTATTTTTCTGCATGTTTCCTATAAAATATGCTTGGATTTATAAGGGCATCAGAAATCAATGCGGAATGGTAGGGGACGCTCACCGATCGTTCATACATTATGCGACACGATAATTAGCGTGACAGCCCTACTTAGGTAATCTTTTTGAACTGAGAACGCATTTCAGCCAACACTTTAGGAGATAGCACGTCCACTGTACGCTGACGCATTTTGACGGTCGAACTTTTGATATACTGCCCTTGTTTTCCCTGCTTCACCCTGCACCATTCCTTCGCCACGTTTTCAACTGCATGTATTCCCTCCCTCTCAGGAAATGCTCAGTGGCAAAAAGACGTTTGCGGTGATTCGGGCGGTCTACGAAAATCGCAACTCTCCTGAAGACTTTGTCCGCGAACTGGACTTTGTCCTTGAAAAGAACGTCAACGTTGTCATCATTGAACCCGACGACCTAGGCGAGGTGACCTGGCGGTGGATTAGAGCAGGGAACTGGCTTCACAAAACCGCCGTCCTGTCCGGTACGTAAATCTATAGAACCCAGGCGTTCTTTATTGCTATTATTATTATTGACCTGAGTTTGCCATCATTCGTCGCTTTGTCCTCTCTGTCTTGTTTTTGACTGCTGACCGTCCTTCTGAAAAGTTCCTTCAAGCGCTCGACACTTCGAAGTCGTAGACGTTGGAAGTTTGAACAGCGGATGGTGGTGGAACTGAATTGGGAGAAGCGATTGCGCATTTTGGGTTGACGTGCGTTCATTGTTCGTTGTTGTTTGTACACCTTCCTGACCAAAGGTCTGTAAGCGTCTGCTATGCCAGGACCAGCAAACCATGGCCCTCGCGGTCTGATGCGCGTTGACGGTTCTCCGGCACCTGGTTCCCTGCCGGTAGATGAGCTTGCACTCCCGCTGGGCACACAGGTCGTGTGCATGGCTGCCCAGTCATCCTCGCCCTCTTTCTGACCCGTTTCGTTGCTGTTATTGCTGGTTAAAGTCCTGGTCAGGTGTCTTTTTGGACCAGGGGGTGTGGTGGTATGCCTAGGTGCGGGTCCGGCCGTGCCAGCGATCTGCACCCTCCCTCGCCTCCGGTCATCTTGACTACGTCCTGACACCGGGTTCAGGGGGGGGGGAGGAAAGAGTGTGGTTTGATACTTCTTTTTCCTAGATTCCAAAACTGGCTCATCGATTCCAGAAAGCTCCTCTTATTATCGTCTAGGGCTGTTATGCGTCATCACTTCGTCGTCTGTCGTTCTTAAGTGTCATACTTCGACCTTGGGACGTTCGGTCTCCCACGACAATTGGCCGCTTGATCAAGCTGTAATGCGGTTGTCATCTTTGTGAAATAAATTTTCGCGCGACGTTCTGACAGTGGTTTTGTTTTGTAAAAGTTATGTTCGGCCATTTAAGGCGAAAATTTGGTAAACGGGCGCGAGTTTTCTGTAACTTCTCCAGTATATAGTGAAGCTATGGCTGAGTCAGTAATTGCTCCATAAACATTCAGGTATTAAATGTCGACTATCCCTGGTGTGTAGGCCAAGTGTGGAGAGTGGTACGTCTACTTCAGACGGCCGGTTATCTAGGGCACTTAACTCGCTCCGTGCTGCATACCAGTGTCCGGTTTTGGCGTATGCCCACTGCAGCGCCCGAATGAAACTGGTTTGTGCTTTTGGGACTGGTTTTCGCAACCTGATGGTCTTTTCTAAAAATAGTCGACCTTCAAGTTAAGTCCTGGCAGTGTTGCCTTTATGTGAAGCCTAGGCTGCACGGACGATGGGAGGAGGGAGGGAGACCTTTTATGAGCTTAGCGCCGCTGTTGCTGATTCATTTCCCTCCGTCCAGCTAATGACCTGTCCCAGTCTCCCTCAAACTGGCCCACAACTGGGTGCTCGTTTAGAGCGCAGTACACAGCGCCCGTATTCTGCGTAACACTTAGGCTTCGTGGACGTACGGCGTATCACGAGTCTGGGCTGCCGCAACCATCTTGACACTGAAAAGGTTAGTTGGAGACAGCCTTACCGTAGGTGGCGTATTTTGTGAAGCACTAACTGAAATTCCAAAATGCGTTTTCGGTTAGAAGGGATTACTTGGATAGGGTTGTAGTATGGAGTATAGTGCGGCATAATCCCGAGATATTTATTTCAGGCCAGGATGATTGCGCATCTTTCCCACTGGTAAAAACATTAACACTTATGTTGCACGAATCTTCTCCGTTGATTGCCAGTGGCCTTATAAATCTATGCTTATTTCTAGAAAACACGCACAAAAATATCCCCTGCATGCAATTTGTAGCACCGTCCGCCTTTTTCAAATTTTCTACTGGAAGGAAGGGTATCTTCCAACTTTCTAAAAAGGGTTTTCAGTTTCCGAATAATTTGGAACACGACCTGTCATTTCACTTGCGTTTAGGATTTCCAAACTACAAACTGTACACTTTCCATTTAAGATAAATTACATTTTCATCTTCACCTTTAAAAAGGTGTCATACATGGCTCATAAAGTGGATATTAACTACGTTATGTACTTCACAACGAACATCAATAAACGGAGGGATGCGGTACTATTTGAATGGACATTTCACAATTGCAAACCTTCTAAACCCGGGAGGTACCCATTCTTCAAGTGTAGCGTTTTAGGAAGACTTAATTTGCCACAAAATAAATGCCAGAAGAATATTTTTGTGCCTCTTTTCTATATATATATGGGCTTAAAGCCCATCTAAAATCAATGAGAATATTATGCTACTGAAGTAGCGATTTCAAACGAGAGTGATCTTTGTATCTTCAATAGCCGATATGCTGGTGTGACTGAAATCTTTTGGGATTGTGCCACCTGCCACTCAATATTGTAATCCGATCTAGGTAATCAGTTATGGCCGACATCAGAATTTCGATTAACGTTTTATGAGATACCCTACCTATTGCAAAAGCCGGTCAAGCGACTGCAAAACCGCGGCGATGACTTTCACCGCCTGAGCCGTCTGTTGTCTGTTTCCGAAAGCCAATTTCATGTCGGATCGTGCATGTTTGAGTTAGTCCTGACTTCAAAAACAGACTAGGTGACGTAAAGACGGCGTGGTCCAGACAGGATTTGTCAATTTCGGCCTCACAGAAAGGTCTTGTAAGGTAGACTTCGCATCAAAAGGCAGCGACTCGCAAACTATGGCTCGAAGTTCTGTCTGGTGTCTGGGCGCGTTGAAAGAGTCTGACATTCATTTTACTAGTTAAAAGACAAATTGACAGCCATTTAAGGAGCAGTTACGTTGGCTAGACTGTATTCTGTGCTCGCCAATGGGGATTTCTGCTGCTATGGTTGAACAGCAGCTGGGTAGCCTTCCAATCTCACGATATATGCCCCCTTCTTCCGAAGTCTGCTATCCGTAGACCGGTCTCAATTTCAATAGGCGCGTGTCCGGCAGAACACACCTTGAACCCTCCAGTTACAAAGACCCATAAGCATCTCGTGCGACTCCTGCGTCTTGCATGCCTATGCTACCGTTTCCGGGGTCCTCCCTCATTGTCATCCAGGGCAGTCTCGTTGGTGCCTAAACTGCATTCTTTTCAATGGGCCCACCTGGAGACACGAACGTTGAGACCACCCATACTGGGATTGACAGGATGCGACTTTGCAGACCCCTAACCGAATATCGAGTCAACTGCGCTATTTACTCATTGCAATCTCATTCCACCCAATCAACAGGCTTTCGTCTGTGACCCTATAAGGCTGTGCTGAGCTCTGCGACCGCAAGCTGGCAGTCGCTTCGACTGGTAATCCAAACTGAGCATGAATCAACCGGAGTGTCTCCTGCATTGAGTGAATTCGTCTGTGTAGTATGGTTCTGTCGGTGTCGTTGAACAAATTGCAGTACGTGTGGCCGAGGGCTTATTGCCAGGTCAATCAACACATTCCTACCTGTCTTGTGGGCCATTTTGTCTCATTCTTGCCACTGGGACACGATGAAATTCGGAAGAGCCCGATGCCACTCAAGTCCACCTCATTATGATTTTGCCAAAACGCAAGTCATCATTGCCTCCCCGTAGGTAGTCATGCTGGCTATCATTGCGCTGGACGGGTAAGGCATGAGACATAACGTCAAAGAAAAGGCAGACCCAAGTTCCTCTTGACAGGGAACTCCCATGGATGTCCACAGGTGTTGTTGGTAGTCTTTGCCTCCCCCTCCCAAAGTCATTTCTCCCTTGAGTCGTTCGTTTCTATCCTCGGGTTCTATTTCTGCCGCTCCCTCTCTACCAAGACATGCAGTCATTGACCTGTCTCACAAAATGCTAGCCGAGATTATGGAGTGCATATTCAATTAGAAAGGATTGCTTACGTAGGATTGTAATATTGATTATCGTGCGGCATAATCCCACGATTTTTCAGACACGCAAGGATGTCAGCCTTTGAGTGCACCTCCTTTCGGCCGCCTGTAAGGTCCTTACTCTGAAAAAAATGGCCAATTAAGTAGTGTGAATTTTTCTATCGATTTTAAATTCTTAGGAGTTCAAGTATGCTTTATAGAAAACCTACACGAAAATATTCCTTCTGCTGCTCCTTTGGTAGCGAATCACGTCTTCTTCAAATTTTACACTGAAGTGAGGAGTTTATTTGGGTCTTAAAAAACTATGCAGTTCTCAAATAATTTTGAGCCTGATACACCGCTGTATTTGCGTCTAGGATTTTCAGTTTGCAAGCTGTATGCCCACCCATGGGAGGAAAATCATACATCTCTCTATGTCATTAAGAAAATACCATATAGAGCTCACAAAACTTTGCAGCGGATGTGGATTATGTTGTATGCTTCACTGTAATTTGGTCTACACGCAAGTCACCACTGCGTCCCATAAGTAGACGAATAAAGCATGAAACATAACATCAACGAAAAGGCGGGCTCAAGTTCCTCTTGACAGTGGACCCCCATGGATGTTCGGTGGTATTGTTGGCCGTCTTTGCCTCTCCGTCCCAAAGTAATTTCTCCCCTGAGTCGTGCGTTTCTAACCTCGGGTTTTATTTCTGCCGCCCCCTGTCCACCAAGACATAGACTGTTCATCGGTTGTGGTGCCGAGTACAACAAAAACCTCTCGCCACGTCGCTGCCCCTCACCTCGACCACTCATGGTTCGGGCAGCACAAGTAACTGTGGAGAGTAATCTCATCACGACAGGGCTGTTATAACACCTCATTCCAACGTAGCTTTCTTAGTAAACAATGATGCGCACATTTTCACTTACCTCTGTCCCCTCTTACGTTTTCAGGCCTCGCAGCTATGGCGGGCACCTGCCTGGCGGTCTACTTCGAGGGCAGGAACCCCGGACGTCTCTCCTCCCTGGCCGTCATGCCACTCAGCACTGGCGTTCGCCTCCTACCCGGCATCTTCTTCGGTCTCATGAGTGTATCGTCGGCTAGCCTGTACACTCTTTTCTGGCAGTGGGATCCCTGCTCTAAGTACCAGGTGGCCAAGTCACTCTCCGCTCTGCCACCGCGCATCGCTGCGGCTGCCATGAACTTGGACAACGGCTCCCCCCTCGCTTCTGCCTCCTCTTACGCTGCCTCCCCAGCCGCCTCCATAGACGCGCGTCTCTCCTCTGGCGAGGAGGTGGACGTGTCAGTTCCGGGCTCCACCACCCCTCTTCCTCAGCCACAGTCCAACGATGGTAGAGGTAGCAGCGAGTCGCGGCAAAATCATCCCCACCATTGTCCCTCGTGTGGTCATCACCACCAACAGGGCGATGAAAGCGGATCCTCCATTCGCCCTGTGGTTCTCGTACGACGTGATGATTTCTATCGCAAACTGGTGCACAATTCCGTATCCCTGACCGCTGCCGTCTGCGTGTGTTTGGCTCTCCTACGTCTTCGACCGAGCCGTTTTGGCGCTGGCAGTCTTCCCTAGTTTACATAAGGTTCTGGCAGTGCGCCGCATGCATGCAATCCTCAGTCATAAACCTTCATTAACGTCTCTCCTCTGTCTCTCGGGGTACCACCGGTTAGCTAGAATGTTCCCTGTGTATGTGGCTGTGCGTAGTCTGCACTGTTTCTGCCACCATCCCTTTCCCCTCCGTTCCACAACCATCGTGCGGACACGCGAGTAGATTTTCCAGACAAATATTTTCTTGCATCTCTTTCGTACTCAGCGTATTTTTGTAAAAAAAATAACAATCATGCCCCCCCCCTCCCCCTCATTGCAGTGTGCCCGTCGTAGACGCTTAGTTCTGGCAGACACTGTGCTGTACAATGGCTTTTATCTCTCTCTCCTTCAAGTGTTTTTGTTGGTAAAAAAAAGAGAGACAGCGAGTGCTCTCCACTTTGTCACGTGTAAATTATCCTTTGTTGCAGTAAACATCATTTTAAATGGTGTCGGAGTGTCTCTTGCCCCTGCTGTCACGTTGTCATACGGCGCTGTTTTTCTCAGGCCAGCTTTCTGAGATCGGCACCACTATAATGTTTTACATGTTGCGGCTTTATTTTAGTCGTTTTGCCCCTGAAAGACAGTCTGCCTCTTGTCAACATTTCCGACGGTCTCGGGACGTGTAGGTCGCGTCGCACATGGCTTAGTTACCCAGAGCACTGGGGGCGTAGCTGGAAGGGGGTTTCTGCATAGGGGAGCGGAGGGAGTTTATTTTTGGACTTCTTGAATTTTGGCAATTGACCTCGACGTTCGTTCAATCTGCTAGTGCGTGGGCCTATAGGCGCAGAGTGACAAAGTCGAAGAAGACTGGGGCATTAGGCGCTCTTCACATCCACTCATGCCAGCAGCACAAGCGTAGATTGAGTTGCTCACTGGTCATCGCCAAGCCGAAGTTCCGTTCTAGGCATCTCAGTGAGCCATGCATGCACCCCCGTTGCCCTAAAGGAGTCGTCATCTGCTGTCCTGAGCCTTGCTCCTCCCCCTCCTCTCCCTGACGCTCTTTTCCTACAATCCTACCCTTACCGTGCTCATTTCCTCTTAAGAGGGGCTGGCGTTGTCAACTTGAACGTTTACGAATGTACCCTTCTGACGACTCTACTGTCTTCGTGCCCTGACCTGCCTGGCTTCGCTGAGTAAACAGGCTCCGCCGCGCTGCGGTAGTCGGCATGACCAGGCGAACACACTTTCAACGACAATGGCGAGCAAGTGACGGAGCGACAAAGTGAACACGTGCGTGTCGTGATTTAGTGTCAGGTGAGGGCATGATTGGCCACGAAGTACATGAATGAGCCTGAAACAACTGCGCTCTCAACCTCTCCTGTCTTTGGCGGTCTGCGTCGGGGTCCTTTCGGTTGATCACTATGATCTAGGAGGCTGAAAAGATAGTGAGGTCGACACTGTGGAATAAATCCCTGCCGCACATCAGCACTTATATAGCAAATTCCTTCACCCACGACACTACAACCTGTAGCTCATTAAACCTCGAGGCCAGCTGAACGATTTCGTCAGCGTAGCCATCATCAATCAGCCGGTGTCCGGGTACAAATTAAACGGCGCCGGAAACCGTGATGGGTCCTTCTGTAGCTCCAGACAATGGCGCAGTTGAACAGAATTAGTGAGAGGACACAACTTGTCGAACGCCTGATGGGATCGCGAGACTGTAGATGGTGGTGATCATGATGATAATTTATGTCGGCACACTGTCTAGTCAGAGCAACATGATCGACAAAGACAAGGGAGACTGGAATGGCAATTTCTGGCTTATTAGCCGTCGTCAGCCACCCGTACTCAACCTCGAGAGGGAGCCCCCAGCTACAATAGAACGTGCGTCCCTCTACCATTGTGCATACCCAATCTCAACCGACAGGACAACGAGCCCGTGGCTCAGTGGTTAGAGGCGTTGGATCCTCTCGACAGTTCCAGCGTCGTTTCCGACGATGTCCACGGTGTGCTCTACAGCGTGCTGAGAGCAGGCACGGTGAATTACGTGTGAGTTAGTTTATAGTGATAGCAAACTTGTGCAGCATGGATGGGGGCATTTTCATACGCATTAAATGCCTCCGTCAGCATGTGTACTTGTATCTGTTTGGCAATTGTATGGCGCGCGTAGACGGGCTGTTTGGCTCTACCAGCCATTGTGCCCACGCCCGCCTCCGGTCGCCTCAACATTATCTTGCCGTCAGAGCGGGGTGAGTGGTGTTGCGCAGGTCTGCCTCATCATAAACTGATTCACACGCATGTCGTCGACGCTGTGTACACTCTGTAAAGCACTCGAGCCATGGTTTACTTGCCCCAGTCCATTAACAAGTGCGATGATCTTCCCATTCCATACTCGGTGTTGGGACTTCGCCTAGGCGGAGTAATTGGCCACGCGGGGAGCGCACATGTGAACACTTTTCCCAAAACCAGGGTCGGTGCGTCAGATGGTCGAGCAATCATCACATTGGCATCCAACGCACGTGATGAAATTGCGGCAATTAACGACGCGAATGTTGGCCAGCACACCACGTGCAACGATCCCTGATGACGGGGGGGGCGTGAATATTCATAGGTAAGCGGTAGCATGGCTGCTGCATCCTATAAATACTGCAGCCCCTTGTGCATGAACCACCCGTATCGGCTTTGTTTCTGATGATGGGTTCGAGCAGGGATCCGAAACGTCAGTCTAATAAAGCTCTTGTCCCAACGATCGTGTCTCCTTCATCAAGTCCGACCATCGTTGCTGACGATGTCCACCGTGTGCCCCACAGCATGATGAAGCAGGGGCGGTTACTTGTGCGCGAATTAGTCTATAGTGATAGTGAACTTCCGCAGCATCTACCGCACTCTCTCCTCCTCCCCCTGGTGTCAAGACATAGTCAAACAGATCGGAGACGAGGGAGGGCTCAGGTGGATGGCACAGTCGAGCCCATACCTTGGCGTCCCACTCCACACCCTCTGGTCGACATAGCAAATGACATGGTTTTTAACCAACAACAAAAGGGTGGCTGGCACGACCGGAGCCGCACCTGGGCGTGTCGTCACACCTGGCGCAGATGCGACGGAGTGGGAGTGTCATAAAAGCCACATTAAGAGGGGACATTGCAGCCTGACTCTTAGACCACCAGCTGGCCAGTCCGCACACAAACACTGGGCCGACTGCGAGGTCAAAGTTATCCCGTGAGTTCGCAAACTTACCAACCACTTCTTTTAGCGCACCATGATAGCTTCAAGCGCGTCAGATTGTTTATAGTGAGGAAAGTGCGTTAAGCCGTCGACATTACTCTCCCTTTCCGGGCCCTAGTCACTGTCCGAGCCGGTCAGTTGACAGGTGCGGGAAATGGGACCTTTGTGAGACCCAACCACTAGACGTCGACCCAAAACGGACTTGTGTATGTTCCTACGCCCTTTACCTCGATATCTGAGCAAGCTGTGGATACGTAAGTTCCAGGAATTTGTGCTGAGCACAGCAGAAGCATCTCGCTATCCGTTATGGATGGTGGACGAACACAGCTTAAGGCTGGCTGGCGAATCTCTGTGTGCAGAATTGATTCGCCCGGAGTGTAAAAACCGCTCGTGTTTTGGCGCACGAACGAGGGGTAGCAGGAAAGTCGTGCGACCTCTTAACGTTTACACAATCTGGCCGTTCAGATCGCGCATGACAAGCCCGAAAGGCGCGATTTTGAGGAGTCCTTGGATGCCTAGACTCGTCACGTTAAAAAGTGTATTAACTTTGGTGTAAACTGTCTGAAGCCTGGATGAGGTGCATACGGCCCACAAGAAAAAGTCAAAACTTTGTGAACACCGGATGCCGCGTGACTTCCTTAATGCCCTGTTTGCGTGGTCTCAGCGCGAGCTGTTTGTCCGTACTGGGCGAAGCAGACTGCGCACAAATTCGCTGTTCTACGCCACCGATTTTTTGACCGAATGACGTTTAAAGGACTATAAGGGTCCTGCTGTTGTCACTTGTTTTAGTGCCCCGAGCGTTAATTTATTGGACCGCAATATGCTCACTGCCTTACAAACGTCTTCGCCTACTGAAAAGTTGCAGTTAGTAGCTGTTCTAAGCGAGTCCCTTCGTTACAATTCACAAGTTTGGGTCTAGGCGCTGACTGCCTGGCGCGTCCATGGGTATCGGATGGTGTAATGACCCTCCGCGAAAGTTTGCAGCGACTGAGGAGGTTGAGACGGACACGCAAGGAGTAATGTAGAACGGTTAACTCCTGATGTAGAACAGGCTGAGCACTTATTAGACATTCCGTCGTACACATAGGGGCGAATAAGACGGAACAAGGCTTAGAAAAGTAAAAATTATCCTAATAACAGAAATGAATTTAATATAAGACGAAAATGGTGAGTTACAGCGGGTGGGCTAACTCGTGAAATTTCAACCGGAATTCCGAAATGAATTTTCGTTTCCAAAAGATCGATAAGTAGGGTTGTTAAACTAATCATCGTGCAGCATAATTCTATAATAATTCAGTTACCTCAGGATGCCGGCTTTCGAATGAACTTTTTTCCGGCTGTCTGCAGAAAATATACTTTGTAAAAAAATGACTACTTAAGTAGCATGCATTTTTCTCATTGTTTTGCGACGCCATTAAGAATTCAATTATATTTCACGGAAAACACGCAAAAAATATTCATTCTTTTTGTCATTCGGTGGAAAATCACACCCTATTTTAATTTTATACTCTAAGGAAGAGTATAATTCGGTTTTCCAAAAAAATTTCCCAGTTCCCGAATAGTTGTGAACCCGACCTGCCGTTGCACTTGCATTCGGGGTTTCGAAACTACAAACCGTATTTTTACCGCGTAGGGAAAACCACACATTTCTCTACGGTATTAAGAGAAGATCATATGGGGTGCATAAAACTTAGCAGTGAATTTGAGCCATATTGTCAACTTTACAAGCCGACAGAACAACGAGCCCGTGGCTCAGTATTTGGAGGCTTTGGACTTCTAACAGGTCGCGGGTTCGAGCCCCAGGTGCTTCAAACCTTGGG